CTGGTTGCCGATACGGGGCCGGATAGGAATTTAGGCCCTCATCCTCATTGGCCGGTGGATGGGGGAGTTTTTGCCTATCCCACACTAGAAGAGGTTTGTGGTAGTTGGGGGAAGCAGCTTCGGTCACACTGGCGGGTAGTGCGGAAAAAAACAGGCATTTACGGTGGGTCCCGCAGTAATTTCAAGTAAGCCAACAGTACATCCTACCGCCTGGCACTGCGGATCGTGCGATTACAGTGTCTGTGGCGGGAAGATGCGCTGGGCCACTTCCAGACTGACAACCCTCAAATAAAGGGGGATCAAGGTCTGGGGGTGTTTGTTAGCGGCCGGCCAGGTTCCTGCTATCCTTAAGGTCTCTGGAGCCTGGGGCCGGGGACTCACCCTTTCATTGATCTAGGAGTATTTAGATACTTACGCCGTTTTACTGTTTCCGCACTACGGCAGGCCCCTCCTTGTGAATGAAAAGTTTGGATTATTAGTGTATATTAATAAAGTGTGGCCCATATTTTAACCCATACTCAGTGTCTCGCCTTTTATTCCGGGGTTGGGAGGGCAATAGCCCCTTGGCATCAAGAGACTCTTTATTTTTCTTGCATGTTTTTTTTCCTTTGGATACACTTTTTTGTTTTCTAGTACTGAAGGCTTGCTTAGGGTGATAAGCTAGACTTTCTTTTCATTCTTAAGTTGTTTGTTTACCTAAGCGTTCCTCACTTATTTACCAAGATTACCTTAGTGAATCAGTCTTATTTATGTCATGTTACATTATGTTGCGTTGTTCATGTTGTGTGATCTCTTTAGGTGGGAGGTAAGAGAGAGGGAGGGGGGCACTGTTATGTTTTTTGCCCAGGGCCCTCTAGAACCTTGAATCGGCCCTGGCCCCAATTTTTTTTCTTATTGTCACAATTCCACGCGGCCCCTGATGGTTTCACCAGCGAAAGAGCTCACGCGAGGTGCCCCTCAGCTGCCACCAGTTGATTTCATCGACAATACCTATTGTGAATGACAGATGTCCAGGCCATATGTCATTTTAAAAGAACCAAATAGAAATGGTTTATTGATACAGGTGTTGACAGAACAAGCCATGTTGTTAACTCTTAAAGAAACATTCTTCTTTATCCACCCTCAACCACCATTCTTCATCCCAAACTTCTCTCAACTCTCTAATTCTCCATCCCAAAACCTTATCTCTAAAACCTTATCTATGTCTGTCTAAACTCATCCTCCTCCTGCTGAGTCTTTTATACCTTGTGACTCCGCCCCTCCAGCACTCCCATTGGCCTATGCAAATAGCATATGAATATTCATGACCTGGGCGAACGCCTCACTTACAAAATGGGATAATTATGGGGCAAAAAAAAAAACAAATCCCACGTTGCATCCATGGTGATCCATAGTGCTGTCTTGTTGCTCTTTTGGGGGGTGCTGGCGGTGCATTTAGCCCCTCCGGGCATATATGGTCCTTAGGCCACATGTTGCCCACATGTGGGTTTTTTGGTTTGCTTTGGTTTGCTTTGGGTTTTGGTGGATTATGGGGGACTCTTTTGTGGGGCATAAGATTCTCCCCTCCACCTGCCATTGCCACATGGAGAGTGTAATGGATGTGATCAAAAGCCAAGATTGCCTCTGAGCATGTCTGGAGCTGAGTTCCAAGATGACAGCCGGTCTAATGTCTACATACTAGAAAACCACGCAATAATTCCAGTTGAAAAGTTTGATCTTCCAGACGTGAACACCCTCTAGGAAGGGCTGGCGTTTCAAACCACGTGTTAATTCCCACAGTATTGCCTACTGGAGTTCTGGGAGATAATCTTGGATGAGGCTGATCGCTTCCTTTGAGACCCCAGCCCTTGTTTAAAGGGAGATGCTGGGTGGCATTTCCACAGCACCAAAAGATGCCCGATCTTTCCAGCAGATCACAAGACCAACACCCATTAGGAAGGTGGGAAGGAAAAGCAGCCCTCAGTACTGACTTTGGGAGCTGATTTGGAGAGTTTAGCCTGATTTTACTAAAATGTCACTAAGGCATGATGACACCAGTGAGCGTGTCTGGCCGAGGGCTAGCAGAACGGCTGCCATCTGGAGGATCGTTGGGTTTTGGCTTTCCCATATGCTCGGCTTCTATATTTGACAATAAAGCAGATATTAAGAAGAGGGCATGGTAAAGCAATAAGTGCATGCACTGCATTCTTTCCCATCCGGGGGCTTGAACAAGCAAAAATAACCTTAAAATTTACCATGTTCTGTTTCAGTGGTGTCTTTATTGTTGCAATTTCATATTTATTTATAATATATTGGCTGAGATCCACATCCTGCTTTGCCTCCCGTGGGTTGACGGCAGTGTTTCCCAGCCGAGGAACACCGGAGGGCAGAGACACAAAGCGGTGGATGTCATGGTGAGGCTTTGGGTGGATGGTCGATGGGGCCAAGTTGCGTGGTTTCAGCTCCAACGCAGGCGCCATCTTGTATTTCTCCATCTTGTATTTCTCTCAGGCGGATCTCCTTCAAGGGGTCCCTCTCTGAGGCCCAGATCCGAGAGAGCAGCTTGGAGGTGCTGAAGGGCTACCTGCGGGACATCATGGAGGCCATTGTGGGCTCAACGAAGGAGTGCCCAGCCGCTATGAGAGTGGCCTTCAAGCGGCTGCATAAGCGTGTGGCCGACCGCTTTCCGGAAGCCGAGAACCAGGTAGGAGAACTTCGTGGCTGGCTGGACAGCCGTAGTCCCACAAAACAGCTTTCCCGATCTCCCTGGTTAAATTTGCTATGGGTTCAAATTCGGATGCAAGAAGGTATGGATGCGCCGACAGATGACTTTGGAGAGTGGGCAGGATCATAACTAAGGGAGAGCAACGTGGGCCTTTGCTCCAGATGCCGATGATTAGGAGGAACTGAAGTCTAAAGGTAAATCTGATGTGTCGAAAATAAAACAACCACACCACCTAGCTAGATTCAGGCTGGAGCTTTACAGTCATGCCCTGCTTAACGATTGCCCTGCATTACGATGAATCCGCTATACGATGATGTTTTGCAGACGATAAAAAACAGCTGAATGTCGGGTTTTCAAAATGGCCGCTGGGTGCTTAAAATGGCTCCCTGCTGTGCTTAGGGACGGATTTCTTGCTATACACGCACCAAAAATGGCCACTGTATGGAGGATCTTCGCTGGACAGTGAGTTTTTAGCCCATTGGAATGCATTGAGGGGTTTTCAATGAAAACAACCACACCACCTAGCTAGATTCAGGCTGGAGCTATACAATCGTGCCCTGCTTAACGATTGCCCCGCATTACGATGAATTTGCTTTACGATGATGTTTTTGCGGACGATCAAAAACAGCTGAATGTCAGGTTTTCAAAATGGCCACTGGGCGCTTAAAATGGCTCCCCGCTGTGCTTAGGGACGGATTCCTCGCTATACATGCACCAAAAATGACCGCCGTATGGAGGATCGTCACTGGAAGGTGAGTTTTTACCCATTTGGATGCCAAAATGGTCAGTCAAACTCTAGAAATGGGCCCCGTTGTAGAGTATGGGGTCTGATGTGGAAACAGAATGGATGAGTTCAAACATTTTGAAACTGATTCCATGATGTAAAGACCAATGGAAATCAGACCATCCCTTTTGCCTTCAAGGAGCAGAATAATTTTCTCAGCCACCAGAGGCTTCTGTGGCTTTTGGATGCCAAAATGGCCAGTCAAACTCTAGAAATGGGCCCCGTTGTCGTGAGGGGAGCCCCTGAGCGCGCACACACCCCTTCGAAACATTGGCCGTCCTGCAGTTAACATTTAAAAGGCCTGGAATGTTTTAATTTCATTTTATTTTATCAAAGGTCTGTGCTTAGGTGGCAGGACCCCATTAAGGAAAGTGATGAGTTCAGAATGGGTTTCCTTATTTAATATTAATTAAGTGTTTTATTCTGTCTTGTTTTGTTTTTTTCACTTAGTTTTGGCGACTCATGTTTATAAATGCTATGACTTGCTGCCGCATTGTGTTCGGTTTTGGTTCCTCTGGCTGTTTGTAATTCCAGGATGCCAAATACCTCGCCATCAGCGGCTTCCTTTTCCTCCGTTTCTTTGCTCCGGCCATCCTGACTCCGAAGCTGTTCAACCTCCGAGACCAGCATGCAGGCACGCAGACTAGCCGGACCCTCTTGCTCTTGGCCAAGGTACCCTCTTTTTGATCCTCAGTGTGGCGTAGTGTAGTGGATAGAGTGACGGACTAGGACCCTGGGGAACAGGCTTCGAATCCCCACTTGGCCACGGAAACTCACTGGGGGAAAACCACTCCTTAAAGATCTCACTTCCTTTGAAAGCCCTATTAGGGCCACTATAAGTCAGTTCCGACTTGACAGCACACGGAACACACACACACACACACACATCCTTTTTAGCTCAAGGCAGACTCCCTTGCTTTTAGCTGGTGTGTTGCCACAAGAAAAGGAAATAAATAATCGACCTCCAGTCCCTTCTGTGCCACTTTCTAAACTGATGTTCTCTGTTAGGGATACATCAGTGGTGGGGTTGCTGGCCTTGGCGGGAGTCACACCCAACTCTGCCATTCTGGTGTTCAGATGAACAAAGTGAGTGGCCCAACTCTATACAGTCGTGCCCCGCTTAATGATTACCCCACATTACGACAAATCCGCTTTACGACGCAATTGCGATAGCAGAACGATGATCTAAATGGGGGGATTTTCGCTTAGCGATGATCAGTTCCCTGCTTCGGGAACCGATTTTCGCTTTACGACGATCAAAAACAGCTGATCGTTGGGGTTTCATAATGGCCGCCGGGTGCTTAAAATGGCTCCCCGCTGTGCTTAGGGATGGATTCCTTGCTATACAGGCACCAAAAATGACCGCCATATGGAGGATCTTTGCTGGACTGTGAGTTTTTAGCCCATTGGAACGCATTGAATGGTTTTCAATGCATTTCAATGGGGTTTTAAAATTTTGCTTTACAACGTTTTTGCTTAACAGCGATTTTCCTGGAACGGATTATAGTTGTTAAGGGAGGCACCACTGTAAGGTGGTTGCGAGCTCCTTGGACGCAAAGCAGAATGCAAATGTTAGAAATTTTAAAAATAAATAAATAAAGGGATCCCAAAGAAGGGATGGGTCCTCTCCCTCCTCTTTCCTTCCTCTGCGGTCCTTTCTATGCCTGTTTTCCTTCCTGGCAGGCGGTACAGAGTATTGGCAACCTGGGCCTCCAGGTTGGGCATGGCAAGGAACAGTGGATGGAGCCCTTGCACCCCTTCATCCTGTCCAGCATCGGACGAGTCAAAGAGTTCCTGGACCAGCTCATCGAGGTGGACTGTGAGGACGGTGAGCTGTCATTGTGCGATTCTCCTGAATGAGAACAGGGAGCGGATCATGTTATATCCAAGCCGAGAGAGTGGCAGTGAGGAGGTCCCTAGAACAAGCTTCCTGCCGTCCGTTCCTCTTGCCTGATAGCTAAGAGATGCATAAGTTTTAAAAGGTGGGAGAGTTACTTCTTTTGGACTACTGCTCCTGGAATCCCCTGATGTACTCTGAGCGTTGAAGTCCAAAAAGGCAACATTTCCCATCTCTGCTAAGTTCCATTTCACCTGCATCTTAATGAGAGATGACACCATTTCTTGAATGGCGCATCTGTAAATTTTAGTTGCTTTCCTAGTTACAGGATTTTTATTATTAAAGTAGCTATAAACTTATTGGCATCATTACTTTTCAGAGATGGGGGTATCAAGAGAGGTTTCCTTTAAAGTTACAGGACAAATCTATTTCTCAATCCGAACTAGAGAAGATGCATTGAATGCATAGGGCTTGCCACATCAACACTTACGGAAGCCCCACTGATCCAATAGTTTCTCTCCCCCTCTCTCTTCGATGCGTATTTTAACAGGGGGAAGCGGTCTCGGTGTGTTACAAAAGCTGAGAGCCATACCAGCAGAAAGCTAAATTCTGCTGGCAAAGTAATATGTATCCATCGTATGACACTGGCATCAATGGAAGCCAGTAGAAAAGAGGAAGCCCTAATATGAGATGGGTAGTATATCAATAAAGGAGCCATGGCTTTGCCTCTTTCCTTCTGAGAATTAGGAAGGCATTATTTACAGTCCGCACTATATCCACATGGCAGTATCCAGTGTTGGACAGATTAGCAGAGTAAATCAGAAATGAGAATGGTGCTCTCTATTCCCACCATATTCCATGGCTTTCAGGCAAAGGAGAAGAATGCTGTGTAGAGAGAGGACGAAGTGAATTCCGCGAGTCTGGTGTCAGTTTTAAGCTATAAGGACTAGAAACTTGATGGTTGTTTAAATAGATTCTCAAGGAATTTAATTTTGCACCCTCTTCTGGGCACCTGAAGAACTGTAGGCATAATAGGTGCGAATTATTATCTCCCATGGGAACACTGAAATGATTGAACCTCTGGCAGTTCCTGCAATGTGTGTGCATTTTGGAGTCCAGCAGAGCTGAATTTGGCCCTGGTTAAACCTGTGCCTTTCACACCTCTCCGGAGCTTCTGTCATGTCTGAGCAATGAACGTTTTTCTCTTTGCTTTCCTTAGAGGCCAACAAGAAGCAGTCATGGACGCTTGTCCACCCGTCGGCCACCATCAAAGAGGGCTACCTCCACAAGCACAAGGCTGACGGTCTCCACTTGGTCTCCCGCTTCACTTTCAAGAAACGCTATTTCTGGCTCAACAACAAGAGCTTCTCCTACTCCAAATCTCCGGAGTGGCAGGTGGGTGCTCCATCATCCGTAGCTCAGCCTTTGAACTCAGCATTGATGCTCACGAGAACATAGGAAGAGCAAGGGGTGGATCCAGAAATCCAGAAAAGATACTTTGAGGGTTTGCAAATCCTAGAAGCCCTCCATCGGCAAGGCCAGTGAGAGCCAGAAAAGTAACTTTCCCCATCCTGCCAAAGGACTACCTAATCCAGCATTCTGTTCTCACAGTGGCCACTTAGTTATCTTTAGAAGCCCTCCAGCAAGACAGGGGAGCAGTTTAGCTTTTCACCTTGTATTTCTCAGTGACCAAGATGTAGAGGCATCTTGCTTCCAACTCTGGAGATGATATGCAGCCATTGTTGATTGGCTAGTAGCCATCTGACCCGCTTGCCTTCCCTGGATTTGCCCAGTCCCCCTTTGAAGCCATTGAGCTTCCATCTCTAAATTCTGTTACATGCCTTTGATGGCAACCTCATGTCCCTCTACCTGCCCTGTAATGGGCAATGGTTCATGGCGTCCTTGTTTATGATCTCTTGAGTTGATTTGCTCCTTTATTTTTATCTTTGTTTCTGTTTGATTTATTGCCAGTTCTGTTTGATTTCATCAATTGTTAATTGCCCAGACTCGTGCCTTGCACTAATGAGTGTGGTATAAAAAAACAACCAACCAACCAACCAACCAACCAACCAACCAACCAACCAACCAACCAACCAACCAACCAACCAATTAAATCAAATCAAATCAAATTAAATCAAATCAAATCAAATTAAATTAAATTATAAATTTATTGTCATTGTAAGTCTATACATAGTATACACATACAATGAAATTCACACACACCAATCAATCCACCAATCAATCAATCAATCAATCAATCAATCAATCAATCAATCAATCAATCAATCAATCAATCTTATAGCAAGGTACATGGTTTAATCATGCCATTCCCTAGAGATAAACTACCAAATCCTGTTTAATGATGCATCATCTCAGCTGAAAAACAGATCTGTTGTGTTTTGATTGCAATCTTTTTAATGGGTTAAATGAAGAAGAATGCTCTTCTCTGTTAGTGTTGCAAGATGAAAAATTCTTCAACAGTTGGTTAAGAAAATCCTCATTCACCACTTCATTCACACGCAGAATGCTCTCTGAGGAGGGACTGGGGAATTGAGTGTCATGTTTGTCCAGAACTTGGGGAAGTTACTTTCTGGGGCACAGCACCCAGAATTCCCTGGTAGCTAGGAGGATTCTGGGAATGATAGTCTCAAAGGCATTTTTTAATCCAAGCCTTGCTTTCATTCCAGGCCCGTACATCTATCCCTGTTCAGCAGATCTGTGCTGTAGAGCGTGTTGACGAGAATGCTTTCCAGCAGCCACACATCATGCAGATAACAACGCGCGACAACGGAAGTCAGCTGCTCACCATGTACATTCAGTGTAAGGTAAGAGCGGTGCTCCCATCAGGATCCAATCACGCCTTGTGTGCATCTGATTTGAGGCTGTTCTGTTACAGCAGCCTGCCTTGCACTACAGTACCCATCATCCACCAGACTAGCCATGTTAGCTGTACTCCAAGACAGTCTTAGTGCACCCAGTAAAGAAATATCTGAATGGCAATACAGTGTTCTCTGTTTTCTTTGGCAGAACGTAGCCTGAAGAGGCAGGGTTGGGGAGGACGGTCTTAGTGCACCCAATAAAGAAATATCTGAATGGCAACACAGTGTTCTCTGTTTTCTTTGGCAGAACGTCAACGAACTCAACCAGTGGCTCTCGGCCATCCGGAAAGTGACCGTCTCTAATGAGCGCATGCTTCCCTTTTGCCACCCCGGCGCCTTCCGTGGCAATCGGTGGACTTGCTGCTTGCAGACGAACCGCACGGGTAACACTGGGCTGAGGGATCTTTGGAGTCAGGGCGCCATTTGTTGCTTACTGTATTTGTTGTCAGGGCAGAGAAGGAAAGCTCTCAGAATTTAGCCCTCTGAGATTATAGAAGAATGTTTGTGCATTTGGCTTTTTGTCATTTATTGGTGCAAAAAAAAAGAGAGGCAGACCCAAAACATGTCCTTTACACACAAAAAATTGCTAAATTTGTTTTAATGCAAAATACAGAGTTTTCATGTTAAAAAAAGCCCCGTTTTTATGCAAATCCTGTGGCTATTGCTGATGAAGGTTTTGCTCTTGTGCAGAAGCAAAAAAAAACCCCTCCAACATTTGTGCATTATTTTGAGGGGGTGACCATTTTTGGAGCCATTCGTTTTCTGAGCTCTAGGCAGGGGGTGGGGTGGGGTGCTGATCAAAATAACGGCAAGTGACTTTGGTGTAAAACAAGAGTGACTCTTTCTTCCGCTTTGATCATTAGGGTTACGTTGATTGGCCCTAGAAGACAGGTAGCACCTTCAGTCAATGGGGAACAATATATAGCCCTCCAGATGTTGTTGGACTTCAGTGCCCATCATCCTGGCCAGTACTGAAGGCTTGCACAAAGAGGCAGTTCTTTTTTGACTGCCGTCTGAAAGACAAGAGGCTGGGGGAAACAATGAGATCACTAGCAATAGAAATCCCAAGGTTGGGGGGTGACCACCAAGGCAGTTCCTATCATGTGTCAAAGTTTGGCATGCTGATGCTCTAGTCTGGCATTTCCGTCATCAACCAGGGATCTGGACTAGAACAGTGGTTCCCAGCCTTGGTCCCCCAGATGTTTTTGGACTGCAACTCCCAGGTATCCTGGCCAGCACAGCAAGTGGCAAAGGCTCCTGGGAGTTGCAGTTGAAGAACATCCTGGGAACCAACGTTGAGAACCACTGGATTAGGCCTTTAAGGATCGTCCGGCTCTAACGTTGGGAGTGTCTTCTCAGGCAGAGGCACCAAATGACATTGATGAAATGCTGAGGTGCCTCTCCGTTGTGAAATCAGGTGTGTGATGATGCCCAAGCGCATCATCAGTTAACTGCTATGAGGTGCGGCAAGTTATACAAATCCTGGAAACCAACGCTGAGAACCACTGGATTAGGCCTTTAAGGATCGTCCGGCTCTAACGTTGGGAGTGTCTTCTCAGGCAGAGGCACCAAATGACATTGATGAAATGCTGAGGTGCCTCTCCGTTGTGAAATCAGGTGTGTGATGATGCCCAAGCGCATCATCAGTTAACTGCTATGAGGTGCGGCAAGTTATACAAACTTGAGGTGAACATAAAGAAGCAGCAGGACTTGGTGACGTGTGAAGGGAGCCCTCTCATCTGGTATTTCATCATATTGATGATGATATTTTAAGGGAACTTTGAAGGGAACATTTTAAGGGAACTTGTCTCTCAGTTTCTTTTAGGGGGGCAGCAACCTGAAACACCCACCCCCCAATCAGATCCTATATTATGGACCCACCCCGTCCCATTCGCTCACCTTACAGGACCATCTGTGGTTGTGGTTTGGTTACAGCTCGTGGCTGCAGCCGCACGCACTCTGCGGTGACCCTTGGCGACTGGAGCGACCCTTTGGATCCTGATGTGGAGACCCAGATGGTGTACAGGCAGCTTCTGCTGGGCAGAGACAAGCTGAGGTCTGTGGCGTGTGGGGCTGAGGGTGATCAGGGAGGGAGTCAGATGGGCTCTGTGTGTGTGTGTGTGTGTGTGTGTGTGTGAGAGAGAGAGAGACAGAGACAGAGAGAGAGAGAGACAGAGAGAGAGAGAGACAGAGAGATGTGCTGTTAAGTCATTTTCATCTTCTGGTGACGCTATGGATGGACAGCATCCGAAAGATCCTGTCATTAGCAGCCCTGCTTGGGTCTTGCAAACTCAAGGCTGATTATCAGGGAAAACCTCTTAACTGTTAGAGTGGTACAACAATGGAACGCATGACCTTGAGAGGTGGGGAGTGTTTCAACACTGGAGGCATTCAGCATGACCTTGAGAGGTGGTGAGTGTTTCAACACTGGAGGCATTCAAGAGAAAATTGGACCACTATCTGACAGGCCTGCTTTGATTTGGATGCGTGCCTTGAGCAGAGAGCCAGACTCTTTTCAACTCCATCATTGTATGATCCTGGAGCGCCGGGCTCTTTTCAACTCCATCATTGTATGATCCTGTGGCATTTATTCAAGTTCCATTGATTTGTTGGGTCTGTTTATTTGGAACTAAGAATTGGGTAGAGGGCATAGAATTAAATTCCGATGCCGTTGCTGAATCCTTGAACAGAATGAAGATCACAGCCCTTCCATGCAACGGTCCATCCTGGATTACCCCGGGCTATGTCATTTCTCCAGCCTACTTGGACTGGAAAGAATGAATGGATAGCTGCTACTGCTCTCTGCTTCAAATAAAATCAGAGTCAGAGATCTTTCTTTGCAGTCCACTGAAATTTGCCAAGAGATGGAATTCTAGAACCACATCCAGCCCCTGCATAATATAAGGCCCTCTTATATGGATGTCCGCTCTGTCACCAGAAACTGTACAGGAAGTCCTTTCGCTTCTGAGATTTTGCTAAGTGTTAGTATATGTTTCCTGGCTTATCCACCTCATCAAAAGGACTAGAAACTTGCTCCCATCTTTTTTTTTAAAGCTGATTTTATGAGCAAGTGGGGGAAAGGTGTTTTTTTTTTTTTTTTTAATCCTTTCGATTATGAAGCTAAGCCTGGAAACATGTACTGGAACCGCTTAGCAAAATCTCAGAAGCTAAAGGAATTAGCAGGCCCCTTCTTGGGTGAACACCTGGATACGTCAAAGTGAAGAGGAGAGCAATGCCATCAGGAGGCCAGACTCCATTACGAGCCTGGACTCTTAGCAGGGTCACCGAAGGAGAAATGGTCACAGCTGAGGCACCAGACTAAGATGCATCTACACTCTTCAAGGCAGCTACTGGCAGCTGTGGCAGCACCCGAAGCTGACACTAGTGGAGGAGGCAGGAGCTGTGACACTCAAGCTAACTTTTGACAGTACTGTGCAGAATATGGCAATGGTTAAACCACTACTGTCTTGAAAACCTTATGACGAGACAGTCCAAAATGAAACAAGAGATAGTGCTGGAAGATGAGACTTCTAGGTTGAAAAGAGCGTTGAATCAGCTCCTCGGAAAGTTGAAACAACAAGTACAAATAGCACTGTTGCTAATGATGCAACTAAATTAAAACCAAAAGGGTCTCTAATGGCTGATGCACACAGAAGTGAAAAGAAAGTCCAGTGCCGTAGAGCACATACAATTGGAACATGGAATGTAAGAAGTATGAATCAAAGTAAGCTGGAAACTGTGAAGCAAGAAACAGAACGTATAAATGGTTGTTGTGGGTTTTTCAGGCTCTTTGGCCATGTTCTGAAGGTTGTTCTTCCTAACGTTTCGCCAGTCTCTGTGGCCGGCATCTTCAGAGGACAGCACTCTGTGCTCTGTATAAACGTATAAACATTGCAGGACTGGAACAGGACATTTTCAGTCAGACTACAAAATGTTCTGTTCCGGAAATGATAAATTCAGAAGAAATGGAATGGCTCTAATACTAAGGCAAGATGTAAGCATGAGCAGTTAGGGGATATAATGCAAAGTACGACTGAATAATAGCAATCAAACTCTCGAAAACCTATCAACATAATGATTGTTCAAGTATATCTTCCAGCCACCAGTGCTGAAAAAGATGAAATAAAAGCTTTTATGCAAGCATCCAGGAGGAAATTGATCACACACCAAAACAAGACATGCTTAGGTGACTAGAATGAAAAAGTAGGGAACAAAGCAGAATCAAATGTTGTTGGAAAATTTGGCTTAGGAAACAGAAATAAAGCAGAAGAATGACTCACAGAGCTCTTTAAAGCCAGCAATCTGTTTATTTCAAATACATGCTTTAAGCAGCCAAACATATGGCTGTACACATGGAAGTCACCAAATGGCCAATAAAGAAATCAAACAGACTACATAATTCAAAGTGGGAGATGGAGAAGCTGCATTATCTCTGCCAAAACAAGACTAGGAGCAGATTATCGCATTGATCATGAACTGTTATTAGAGTAAAGCTGAAAAAGAATACTAAAAGGATCATAATGCCAAAATATAATTCAAACAACATTCCTGGGGAATTTAAAGTCCACATAAGGAACAGATTCACATTACTAAACTCAACTGATTGTGAACCAGGAGAACTGTGGATTGAAACAGAGATATTACTAGGAAAGAATGCAAAAAAGAACATTCCTTTTTTCTTTTTCTTTTTATGCAAGCTTTTTATTTATTTATAATCCAATTACCAGTACAAACATATACTCAGCAATATATTTATCAATACAAACAGTACAATCCATAGACAGTCATCCTATTAAGCTTAAAAGCTAATAGGCCAATATTCCAGTTGGCTTCTCAAAATGTCATCCTCTCTATTTAATTCCATACTAAAAACTAACAAAGGGCACCACATTTTGATGAACTTCTCTTCTTTTATTTCACTCTTTCCGTGTTTGGGCAATTTAAGTTCTCACAGCCCCTACAACAATTGCCACCAACTCTTTATCAACTAAATTCTCATTCTCTCCAGTAAATAATGAGGAAAAACAGGAAAGTAAATCTCATGCTTTGTTAACTCACCCAATTACCGCTATTACATTCTGCCAGAATGATTTGGCCTTTGGACAGGAGAATGACAAGGATCTTTTGGAACCATGATTTCTCCAACACACATCTAGTTCCTCCTTATTAATTTCATGAAGTGTTATACAGCACAGATGCCATCTATGTATTGTTTTTAACTATTTCCCTAGATGTGGCTGATAGCAATTTATAAGGCTGTGAAGTCCATATTTTTGTCCAGGATTCTTGATATTTAGATTTCTTTCCCAAACTGTCTTAACTCCCATAGTAATTGCCATACTCCCTTACTAATTATGCTTTTATAAATTACTGAAATTACTGGTATAAAAAGAAACTGAGAAAGAAAAACATTCCTGTAGAAAAAAAGAAAAGAAAAACCTAGATGGATGATGGAAGAAACACTTAAAATACCAAAGGACAGTCAAGAAGCAAAAAATAAAAGGTGGCAGAAGTAGGATCAGAACTCTGAATGCAGTTTTTAAGTGACTGTCACATGATGACAAAGAGAGCTATTATAATGTCCTGTGAAAAGAAACAGAGGAGAACAACAAAAGAGGGATAATAGCATCTCTCTTCTAGAAGATCCAAGAAAGCAAAGGGAAATTTAAGCTTAGATTAGGGATGCTGAGTGACCAACAGGGAAATACATTATCCGACCAGGAGAAGATCAAGAGAAGGGGAAGGCAGTATACAGAAGACCTACACAGAAGGGACAAACGGATGACAGACTCCTTTGAAAAGGAATCCTATGATGAAGAACCTGCAGTCCTAGAAAGTGGAGCGAAAGCTACTCTGAAAACACTAGGGAAAAATAATCAGGGTTAGATGGAATACCAATAGAACTGTTTCAAGCCGAAGAAAATGAAGCTGTCAAAATCCTAACAAGAATATGCCAACAAACATAGAAAACAAAATAATGGCCCACAGACTGGAAACTTCAATATATTTTCCAGCTTCCAAGAAAGGAGATGACATGCAGTAACTGTAGGACCATTGCTCTACTTTCTATGCAGGCAAAATAATGCTCAAGGTATTGCAACAAAGGCAGAGCAAGAAATACCTGATGTTCAAGCTGGATTGCGAGCCACTCAAGATCGTATTGCAAATATCCACTGGCTACTAAAGTGCACCAAAGAAATTCTGAACAAGGCCAGTTTATGCTTTACAGCAAAGCATGTGTGTATCATGAGAAGCTACGGGTTGCTCTGAAAGAAATGGATGTGAAGCTACTGTTAGGTCAGCATAAGGGTAGACAGAATAGTTTGCAACAGGCAAACATATCCGATACAGGTGCATTTTGTCCCCTTATCTGTTCGATCTGTATACAGAACATATCATACGGAAAGCAAGATTAGATTTAGATGAATAAAGAGTGACAATTGGTGGAAGAAACATTAATAATTTATCCAGATGGCACCATCCTACTGGCAGAAAGCAGTAATCGCTTGAAATTACTTCTAGGAAAATGAAAGAAGAAGTGGCAAAGCAGGACTGCAGTTGAACATAAAGAAGAATCAAGATTATAAAAGAACAGAACCCCAATGTTGACAATGAAGGAATTGAAATAGTTAAAGATTTTGTATGCTTTGGTTCAGTCATTGACCCAAATCGGGACTTACAGCCGAGGTATCAGAAGGCTGAGACTCAGAAGGGCAGCCATGAAGGAATTAGAAAATATCATCAAACGTAAGGATGTGTCACTGGAGATCAAAGCCAATATAATCAAAATTCTTGTGTTCCCAATCACCATGTATGGATGTGAAAGCCGGACAGTAAGGAAAGTAGGTTGGTTGGTTGGTTGGTTGGTTGGTTGGTTGGTTGGTTTATATTTATATCCCACCTATCTGGTCTTCCGACCACTCGGAAATTGGTAGGGGGAAAAAATAATTTGTTTAAAACATGGTGCTGGAGGAGAGGTTTGTAAACACCTTGGTTTACTAGAAAGGCAAACAAGTGGGTCCTCATCAGATCAAGCCTGAACCATCTTTGGAGGCC